GGGGGGGGGGGGATTGTAATAGCTGGAGTATGTCGCAGTGGTGGAGGGCAGGATCGGAGGGAAGAAATGGTTGGGCTTAGAGTGCTTTTATGGGGGTAGTATTTGCAGATGCAGATCGGTAGTGGGGATTTGGGCGGGTGATGGGAACGAAAATGACCAGCTAATGGGCAATTTGTATGGTGGGTGGCGTGGTTTCAAGTAAGCGAGTTTCGGAGAAGGATGTAGAAGAGGCGGGGGGAGGGGGGGGGGGGGGGGGGGGGGGGATCAAACTGCCAGGAATCGGTTGATCTGTTGGAAGAGGTGGGTGGGAGTTACTAGTTGACTTATGTCGCGTGTTGGTGGGGAGAGATTCTTCGAGGAAGAAACGGTAGGGTGTTTGCAGATGCGGGTCGGTAGTGGGGATTTGGGCGGGTGTTGAGAGTGGAATGGGCGAAAAAGGTAGGAGGGTCGTCACGTTAGATGGGGCTCGCTAGTGACGATGATGTGTCATGGGGGGGAGGTGGGTAGGGGCGGGAGCACTCGTTTGTTAGTAGGTTTATTTGTGTGATACGGAGTGGTGGGGAGAAGGTCGGGCTAGAAAACCAGGCAATGGAGTGATGGCGAGTAGTAAATCTCTCACAGCGTAAGACCGAATCTCATGTCCTTTGTGTCTGATCCCGTCACTTGTCGTTGCTTGATTTCTAGGATTGGCGATCTTCGTCGATCTTCGTCATATGCTGGTTATCATTGCTTCGTCGTCTTCCGGCTGCTTTGCTTCCATTCTGGATGCCTCAATTCCGGGCTACAGTCGCCGCCTTGGTTCCCGCCCAAGGGTCGGCCGCCTGGACCAAAAGTTAGAACTTCCTTGTCTCATCCATTCTCTCCTTTGCTATTCCTGGCTTGCTTCAACTGCTATCCTCCGTCTTAGGTCTCCCTTGGATGGATTCAGGGTGGACATACCTTCGTTCTAATTCTAGGAAACTTGTATGCCTCAGACTTTTCTCGAGTTGTCGTGGACGGAACCTCGGAAAGTCACGAGTGCACGCGCTGCACGCGTGCACGTGGCACTCCCTTCGTGGCCAGATGGGCTACGGAGAGCCGGGGTAACTTCGCTGAAGTAGGGCGTGACAACGCGCCGCGTCGTCACTTTCAAAATTCGACTTTTCGAACACGCCCGGCGCCAACTCGGGCGCGGGGGCCAAGGGCGCGGGCGTGAGAATTAGCGCTCCGCTGCGCTAACCTTCGGCGCTGGCGAAAAAAAGCATGGGCCTGTAATTCCTTATATCTATGGGATCCCCTTTTTTGTATAACAACGTGACAATCCCTGTGGCCGGATCCTGGCCTAGCCCCTCTGCCTGCTAGGCCTTTCCAGGTATGCCATATATTCACTCCCTAAGATTGGCCAGTATTCAATCCAAAATTCCCTGGTCAATCTATCTCTCCCTGGGGTCTTATTGGGTGACATTGACTTTAGTGCTTCCCATAGCTCTTCCTGAGTGAGTGGGGCTTCTAGCATCATTGTCTTTGCACTAGGTACTGACCTTTCTAGATGAGCTAAGAACTTTGATCTGGCTCCTTGTACTTGTTGTTGCGAATGATCCGACTCCTTAGAAGTATATAAAGTGCTATAGAATTGTTCAGCCACTGCAACCATCTCCTCCGGCTTTGATACCTGCCCTTCCGATGTTTGAAGTCGTTCTTTGAGTGAGCTTCTTCCTTTAGACCGAATTTTCTGAAAGTAGTATTTAGTCATTCTTTCTCCTTCCTCCCACTCCTTGACTTTTGCCCTCATTTGTAGCCCCCTGGTCCTCCAACGCTCCCATGCTCCCAATTCCTCTCTTGCTACATGCCAGATTCTTTCATACAAGTTTGTACCTTGATTATTAACTAGGTTACAATCTGCTATTCGCAATGCTTGCTGAAGCTCAACTTCCCGCGCCTTCCTTTTGGTCGCTAGTTGCCTAGCTGCCGCCGCCGAAACTCGACTCATAGCATTCAGGAGTTCGGGAAGGATTGATTACCCGAGTCATAGTTGAGGCAAGACTGCAAAACGGCGTGCCTTATTTCATGGGTTTGAAGAATTGAATTATTTACCTTATAGAATCCTTTACCTCTCTTGACTTGCTTATCTGTGGACAAATAGAGAAAAGTAGGTTTATGGTCCAATCCACTAAAATAAGGAAGGTCGCTTATACCCACTGAATGGTCTAGATGTGTATAAGAGACAGTCCTATGACTGACTGCTCTTGACTTGCTTATCTGTGGACAAATAGAGAAAAGTAGGTTTATGGTCCAATCCACTAAAATAAGGAAGGTCGCTTATACCCACTGAATGGATCATTCCTATGTCTGACTGTGCGATCAAGAAGTAATCTATTCTCGATGACGAGACGTGTTGACTCCTATTCCTCTTATAGTAGGTAAACTGCCTGTCCTCCGGATAGTACAATCTGAATGGGTCAATCAAATCAAAAGCGGTCATCATGTTATGAATTGGAAGTGCCTCTTCACCTAACGTGCTCTCACCCGTGCTGTGACCCCCTGGCATTCTATCCCGGCCTGGTTCCAATGCGGCATTCCAATCCCCTGCTAACATAATATGCCTGGTGGGTTCTATTAAGGCTTCCAATTCCTCTAAAAGTTGTATTCTTGGTTGGAATGTGTTGGGCCCATAGATAGATACGAGAGTGAAGCACTCTTCCCGAAAAAGAAAGTTCAATTTCACCCATCTACCTTCCCTGTAATCCACTCTCACTTCTTCTATCTTTAGATTCTTCGCTGAGATGGCCCTCTTGTTTTGAAGAATCGCCACCCCCGCCGAATGTGGGCGTGGTGCCGGTGCCCAGAAATCTGTTGCCACCCATCTCAATCTTTGTAAAATCCTATTCTTGACTTGCTCATGTTCTTCTGATCAAGTGAGTTTCTTGTAGACACACGAAGTCTGGCGGACTCTCGCCAAACCATCCTAAATACTGAACAAAATTGTTCCACTTGTCCGGGTTGTCCAAAATCTGTACCAGCCCGTTTATATTCCAGGAGACTACTCTGAACTCCGACTCCTTCCTTGGCTGTGCCTTAACTTTTCTTCTACGCTTCCCCTGTCGGCCTCCTTCACTGTCCTGCATTACGAATTGTCATCCCCTGTCCACCCTTCTTTCATTAAGAGGTGTTCAAGACCCTATCTCTAATAGATTCAACCTTGTTGCTCCCCTTGCAATCCTCTTCTCAATGTACTCTGGCTTCCATGGAAAGGCATCAGTTTTAGTACTAACGCCGCACTTCTGGTCACCCACTCTGCCGCCACCAATCCCTGTAACAGTCCGTAGGGAATGGTCTCGACCACCCGCCATTGCATCCATATTAGGCCCTCACTCAACTTCGCCGTTTCCTGCAGCTTGAACATTATTGGCCTGTAATCTTTTGTTTGTATTGTGCCCACTGTGTCTGCACTTTCCTCCTTTCCCTGCTTCCAATCCCCTAGCACATGTGCGTGGGCTGGCAGATCTTCTGAGATCATACCCTTAAGGGCCTGACGAGAGCAGTTGGCCTCATCTATCGTGACCAGCGCCAACGAGCGATGGATTGCCACCTCCCAATCCTTGTGGACTTCATTCCACTTGAAGGGGATGATTACCCTGCGTCTGGGTGAATTTCTGGCATATAGCCTCGCCGCTGCTTCAATTTTTTTATGTGCCGCATAATCTATCTTTTCCAAATTCGTTGTATCTTCACCCAACTCACAATTTTGGTCTTTGAGGACATTAATCTGAGGCTCCAAGATCGTTGCTTGCCTGCGTGCATCGTCTATTAACTCTTCATCTCCCATTTCCTCTCTTGTTGATGCAGAACTCGCCTTTCGCTTGCTCTCAGATCTCTTCATTGCTTTTGGAAGGTAAGTCTTAGGCCATTCAAACTGCTTATTGTAGACCTTTTTTCGCACCTAAATGTCATTGTTGTGGTTTTGAGCTTTCCACCCATATTGCTTCGCATAAAACTCATTTATCTCCTTCTCCTTTTTCAAAATCTCAAAGCGATTTGTGGTAGTGAGGCCCTCCATTGTTGTCATGGCGTCCTTCAAGTTACGCAAGTGTTTATGGTGTGCCAGGCAAACCTCACATTCCACCGTTATCTCCCATTCCAGCGCCTGCATGCACTTGACCCATCTTTCTATTGTCTCAGGTTCCTCATCATCCTCATCCTCCTCATCCTCTGTATCCTCCCATCCATCCTCGCTTGAACTCTCCTCCGAATCCTCCCCCTCCTCTCCCTCCCCCCCCTTCTTCTTCTCTTCTAGATTTTGTAGCGGAACTGGCTGGTTTCCCTTCGGAAAAATCCGTCCCGTTGCCCGTGTCCCCCTCATCTTGGCCCGTTGCTTCTTCCATTTCTTGCTCCTTTGATGAAGTCTGCCCACTATCCCCTTGCTGTGAAATCTCCATTTGTTGGAACCCCCTGTCCCGCCCTGCTTTGTCTCCATCTCCTGATTCTGATCCCCCGGCGTCTGCTGGGTATCCCTTGTGACCTTGATTCCTCCGGATTGCACCTGCTTGGTTCCCTGTTCCCCTTGCTTACTCTGTTCCGACTCGCTCAACTCCTCTGTCCTAGCCTTCCGTTTGAGTGAGGTAGCCGTGCTGCTCTGTTTGGTTGACCCACTCTGTCCTTCCCCACATTCCCCGCCTTCAGACTCGTTCTCCTGGTTGTGGTTCCGTGTTTCGCTTTGTGCTTCCTCCCTTGCTTTTGAGTTTTCCAGATATGCAACTTCTGCCGTTTTCCCAATCTGATTGAGCTTTTCCATTGTTCTCAATCTATGCTTATCATCCAATAGCATGGTTTCGTCAATCATAGGCTTTATCAGATAACCTATGTCCTTATCTTCCATTCTTTTGGCTCCCTTTTGCCTCCATTTGTTATCGTAAGGGGGATAGATGTCAGGCTTTAGTGTCGGTGACTCCTGTAGCACCCACACCCACCTAGGGGACTCCAAGTTGTCGTAAAAAGTCCATCCCCTATACTGTGCTGCGTTTATGTACCATATCCCCGGCTTGTTGTCCGATTCTTCCAGCATCGATTGACGCAACTGGATTGGTTTACTCCCCGCTTCCGACTGTGGACAGTGCATGCCCAGGTGCCCTCTTCCACGAAACATAAAACAGAAGGGATTTGCCTTTGTTGAAACAAAAATTGTGATCCTTTGCCCATTTTTGCATAAAATCCAAACTTCCGGGAGCTTGGGCGGTGCTCCTGAACGCACCTCCAGACAGGCCACCCTTGAATCATGATTAGGCGCCAGAAAGTCCGGATTTGCCGGCAGCCAATCGATGATCGCATTGTTTGGGTATTCCTCCGACAATCTCTTCTGTACAAAACTATGCATACCTTCCGAGAGATTATCAAATTGGACCCAAAAATGCTCCTTCATCATTATTTTTCTACCTGTGTTGAGAAGCTTCCGCTTGATGGGGTCTTGGGGGGTTCCATGCCTGAATTGTCACAACTGTTCCCTGACATTTCAGCGATCCCAAAGATAGGAGATATTGAGTGTAGGAAGGGTCTACACATACAATCATCACAGTGAACTTTCCGCTCTTGTGATATGATACCTCCGGTTCTACCCCCGGAATAGTCTCCAATCCTATTAAACGTTCCATCACCCATCGCCTCTTCTCGTTCAATGGCATATCCCTGCTTTTACGTGCAAAATTAAACAGCACTGCGTGTCGCTCGTATAGCTCATGCAACGAAGGAATGTCTTGCTCCGGATACTCCCACACATCAACTTCTTCTTCCTTGCCATCCTGACTCTTACGAGTTTCCTTCATAATCTTGATTGGTGCTGTTATTTTGGTTTTCTCAATCAAAGAGTCAATGGCCCGCTGTCCTAGCGCCCTGGGTTGACCCAAATCCCCCCCCAAAATTGAGGTGCCTTGGGAGGCCATGCTCTCCCTTGCTTCCCTTGCTGCTTTGGCCGCCTTCCTCTTGTCTCCCTCTGTCATTCCCCTCTGAGCTGCTTGCACATAAGAACACGCCATGGAACCCTGCTCCATGATTCCGCTCTCCTCCGCTTACTTATTCCATCTCCACGCGGACGTGTCCACCAAGTGCCGCTCTCGTTTCCCTACCCCCGATGGAAAACTCATATCATTACTTTCCTGTCTTGTGTTAGCTTGGCTCCCTTTGCAACGCCCCTTTCCTGATCCTGCTGTCGATTCACCTCTGGCACTTCTCTTCCTTGATTCTATCCTACCTACATCCTTTTTGCCTTTTGTCCTCTTTTGCTTCTACCTCCACCCCTCCACTAGCCTCTCTCTTCTCTCCGTTCCCCTATAGCCTCCTCGTATCCTTACCTGTTCTGCCTCTTATTATGTCAACTTACTTTTCCACATTCCTTCCCCGATTCCACTGACGCATTCGTCTCCCCCCGCTGACGTGTCCTCCACACTCCTTCCCCCGACCCGCTGACGTGTTCCAGCACAGTCTCACTTCTCTTCTTCGATTCTATCCTGCCTACATCCTTTTTGCCTTTTGTCCTCTTTTCTTTCTACCTCCACCCGTCCACTAGCCTCTGACGTGTCCTTCTCCACACTCCTTCCCCCGACCCGATGGCGTGTAGCACAGTCTCACATGCCTACTCATATCCTTACCTGTTCTGCCCCTTGTTATTCCACTGACACATTCGTCTCTCCCCGCTGACATGTCCTTCTCCACACTCCTTCCCCCGACCCGCTGACGTGTCCGTCTCCGCACTTCACCTCCCAGTACTGTCGCACATGCCTCCCTTCTCAAGCGCTGAAGCAAGCACCCCCCACGTTGAAGCTTAGCATTCGAAACCGCAAAACCTCTGCTTGCTGGCGCGGAAAATCCGCACACAGGCGCAAGACCTCCGCGCTCGGGCGTGAAACCTCCGCACGCAGGCGCTGAAGCAATCACCGTCTTTCCTTCCTTTTGTTTGTTCCCTTCTCTCAAATCCCTCAATCCTCTGCTGCCTCTTGTTGTAGTTGCGTTATTGTTGTCATCCTCCAGTGAATCTGAGGACCGCCCCGTCTATCGCCGCTACTTTCCCCTTGCTCGAATCTGTTTTTAATTCCTTTTGCTCCCGCTGGGTTGTCCGCCATTCTCTCTTTTCCTCGTCCTCTTCCATTGGGCCCAGATATCCGTTTCCACGAGGTTGTTGAAGATGTCCTGTGCGTCGTGGATATGCATTTGCCTCCTATCTATCGTCTGTTGACATCTCCTCTTCCAGATTGTCCACAGGGCGTGCTGTCTCTTTTTTTTTTTTTTTGTCTCAGAAGTTGAAATGTTCTCCTCTCATAATGCTGCCAGGTTCTTGGTGTTCCTGTTCCCAGCAGCAGGGTGACCACGTCCTCGGGGAACACGGCGTCTGTGAGTTTGGCTCATAACTCTTTTGCCATTCCCATATCTGCTCTTCGTTATGACACTCTAGAAGACAGTGCTTCACTGATTCCTTCAGGCCCTCCTGGCACACTGTGCACAGTTCATTCTGGGCTCCCCTATTTGCTTGGCTCCTGTGTTTGTTCAGCCATTTGTTAACAGGTAGTGCCATGTGGATGATTAACCACTGCAGATTCTTGACTCGCCCCAGTCTGATGGAACCCAGCCCTGACCATGGCAGAGGACTAAGGCGCACCAGAACGATGCCCATTCAATCTTCCCAATGCTTTAATAATGTGTCCTCCAGCGGGTGCGGCCATTCTGAGCTTATACCCCAACCTAGTTGAGTAGTGCAGTATGTTTGTTCTTAGCGCCACGTTCAGCCTCCCTCGTCTCAAGTTCCAGGCCCATTCTACCGGATCTATCTCCAGGTCCTCCACTGCTGTTGTTGGTATATAGATGGTGAAGACTTCCGTCTCTATAACCCTCACCTTCCTGACCAGCTCCAGTCTCATCGTGATCTGCGTTTTGAGTCCTTATTGAGCTTACTGGTTGTGGCACCTGGCTCCTCTATTTGGTACATGTTGGTAGTCAGCCAGTTCCTTTGCGAGCCCTCCCTTTTCTTTGTATTTGAAATGTCGTCGTTGGTTCTTCTTTGTGCCGCCATGTTACTTAGTCTCCGTACTCCCATTGAGGTGCCTGCTCCGATAACCTCCTCCAATCCAAGGGGATCATTATTAGCAGATCGTTGAGGTTTTCCATAAGTTTGCGACTGCCTTTAAGGAGGCTTCACAGTCCTCTTGCTGTTTTCCACTGTCCTTTTTCTTCTGACCAGAGATGCTTTATCTGCCACAACGCATGCCCTAACCATGTCCCCCATTTGGAATCTTGGGCTGTTAGAGTTATGGGCTTCCCTTGCTCATCCTTAATCAGAAGAGAGGCTCTTGTAGGACTTCTTCTCTTCTTCTTGGCTCTCGCACCTTGGCTGGGAAAATTTCTCCCCATATCTTGATTAGCTGTCGGCAGTAATTTCCATACCCCTCTCCCTGAGTGCTCTGCTGACCCCTATTGGCTTCCCTGCCTGTCTTTGCCCAGCCTTTGCACGTGAACCAGTGAAGTCCTGACATATTGCCTGGTGTTCTGTATTTGGCCAGCTTTCTTATGCTTTCAAGAGCCAAAGGTACCCTCAACAGTTTGTGGTTTGAGATAAGCTTGATCACCCACTTAGTATATAATGCTTTGATTTGCTTCTCTGGATCGACGATGCCCAAGCCCCCCTTACCTTTTTTCCTCGTTACATGTTTCCACGCCACCTTCGAGATGAATTGGTGCTTAGATGGGTTGGCTGTCCATAGGTAGATCACTGCTCCTCTCCTCAGCGCTGTTGCTGTCTATGCTGTCGGGCTCCATACCATTCCTATGCACCATAACATTGAGAAAATCTAGGCATTTAATATTAAAGCTCTGCCATACAGCAAAGTGTAGATGTCAACCATGCTCCCAGCTTGGCTAGCATTTTGGAGAGTATTTCAGGTGCCATGGAGTGGTGCGGGCCTCCTTTGGATACTTCGATCCCCAGATACCTTAGCGTTTCTGTCGGGCACATCCATTGCATCCCTTTAGTACCCGAGGGGGTACCTGGCCCTTCTTCCTCCGAGTGGGTCCATCACCAGCCCACCATCTTCGGCCAGTTGTTCTTCATCCCTGAGGCCAACGGGAAAGCATGCATTGCTCTCGTCAGGGCTTCAAATGATGAGTCCAATGCTCTGATCAGCACTGCCAGGTCGTCCGTGAAGAGTATTGTTGCCGGGATGTGGGTTGGACTGCCTTTGCTGGTCTGGTTCCGTGGTCGGCCTTTGAATTGACGGGTCCTTCCTGAGGAAGGATGCTACTGCTTCCATTATTAGAAATAAAGAATATCGGGGCCGCCAGTGGGTCTCCTTGCCTTACTGATCTGGACATTTTATACTTCCCTGACAGGTGCCCATTGACTTGTACCTAGCCGTGGGCATCGTTGTATAGTACCCTCACATTGTGTTTTTTTTTTTTCCCCCTAATCCTACGAAAAGTCTAAAAGTAAAAGCGGGCCTCGCATCACGTTGGCCGCGGGCCCAGAAAAAATTGTGGGGAAGGCGGTACCGAAGGGGCACGAGGGACTGTGGGAAGTGCGCGACCAGCAGGGCACGACAGGTTCGGTAGGGGTATCTCGAATATCCGCTGGAGGGAAGGGTCCCCAGTTGAAATCGGCCGAAGTTTCCTGATGTGGGTCGGCTGGAGGAAAGTGCTGCACATTGAATGCAAAATGAGACAGAATCCTCAACTGTAACGTGGAATGATACGTAGCCGGATTTTTTACCTCTTGTGCATGTGGAGAGTAGTGGACCCCGGGCCGTATCTTTGCTTTTTGTCATTTTGTGCTGTTCGTAGGGCTGCTCCGCGACTCTCCAAATGTGTGAATTGAGACTGAATCCTGCGCTAGAACATGGAAAGATACGTTGCCGTATTTTTGGTCTTTTGTGCATGTGGTGAGTAGTGGAGCCCGGCCCGTAGTTTTGAAGCGCGTCGCTCCACTACTCTCCAAATGTGCAAAGTGAGACTGAATCCTGCACTAGAACATGGAAAGATACATTGCCATATTTTTCCCGTTTTGTGCGTGCGGGAGAGTAGTGGAGAGAGGGGAGGTCAACGAACCATGAGGACAAGTGCAAGGAGGAGGGGGAAGAAGACGATCGGGAGGAGGTGAATGAAGAATGGGAGTGGTAGGAGGAGGATCGCTACAACGAGGGGGAAGACGACGGGTGGGAGGAGGAGGGACGGGAGGAGGTGGTGGAGCAAGACGAGTAGCAATGAATTGTTGAAATACAGAGCCAAGTTCGAATCCAGATACAATCAGAGGACCAGAATAAAATCACTTTGAATTACCTGGCGCTTGCTGGCTTACATCTAGTTTTGTATCCTGCCTTCACTGTATATTTGTGAACGGCTATCCATTTTTTGTCCTGTCCCCTACCTTGGTTCTCATACCATCCCCATTCCCTTGGGTCTACTTCTAGTTCGGTCATGTCCTTGTTTGGTCTAAATAGCCATGTTGGTTCGTTTACCTTCTTCTCCTTCTTCTTACTCTCTTCTGGTCATTTCTTAGTTCTCTAATCTGTCTCAGGTCTTCGGTGTTAAATTCCAATTTCTCAAGCTTCTGTCTTTGTACCATCGTGATGGCTTTGCTCTAGTTCATGTACGTCAAAGAAGGCTAGGTTTGAATCTGTCCTTGAACATGACCTGAAGCGTAGGGCTACACGGGGTGCATCTTGAATTTTCAAAGTTGCCCAATCTCACCTTTTCCATGTTCTATTCTTCTTGAAGAGGGACATCCAGGCTATGGGCAGGCTGTCTATTAGCTCCTCCAAATTTTTCTGCAAGTTGTGATGCCTCCGCAGGACCAGTCTCAGGTCATTTTTCGTTTCCCATCTGTTGTTGTCATCATCCCCAATATGCTCTATTGTCTATATGCCCTACTCCACCCACCTTCTGCATCTCGTCCTTTCGCATGAGAGTACATGCTTGTCCTTCCTTGCCCATCAGCAGGTCATTCCCAAATAGGGGCTGCCGCAAAACTTTCTCCTTCGAATTTGGGCCTCTTAGCTCCCTCCATGACCTGATCAGGTTGGCCCAATGCTTGCTTGGTGGGTCCCCGGTTGGATGTAGTCTCCTTGGTATGAGCCTTCCTTCCTGGGTGACGAGTATTTATTCGTAATCCACATATGCGGCGATGATATGCCCATCAATGTTCTCATGAGTTTTGAAGGGTGAGAGATTTATGATTCGGTGGATTGCCAAGTCCTGCCACGGTAATTCGAATCTGATTATCCATTTCGTTTGAAGTGCTTTGTATTCCATTGCCGGATCTATCAGACCGAGGCCTCCTTTGCTTGCTGCATTTATAGCATATTTCCTATTTTCCATGCTATTTGTGTGATGAAGTTATCCCTCGAGGCGTCTCCCATCCACAAGTAAGCAGCTGTCTTTTTTCTTAGGTTCTTGGTGAATTGCTTGGGGAGGTCCCATATCGAGGCCGTGTACCAAATCATGTAGAAAATGGACTAGTTGATGACTAGTGCCCTGCCCATTAGACCTTCTGCCACCGTATGTACTTGTTCTTGACAGCTGCCAGTAGGTTATCCACTATTGAGTCATTGGTCCCTGTCACAGATACCGAGATTCCAAAAAAATTGACTGGGTCTTGCTGGCTCAGCCATTGAAGACCTTGTATTGATTCTGAAATAGAGGGTGGGGGTTGTTCTGAATTCCACCATCCTACTGTCTTTTCCAATTTATGTTCATTTATGAGGCAAGCTGGAAGGCTTGAATTACTCTTCTAAGCGCTTGGAAGAAGAATTTGATGCTCTTATTAGGACGGTGAGATCATGATATACGTGGAATGAGACGGGGGCGCCGGTAGCGCTGAACCGCCGTGGGGCGTAACTGCGGAGAATCAGCGCGGCCTGTGGGAACGCGCCGACGCCGGCCGGTCAAGGTGAGGGGCGGGGTCAACACGGTGACGCCGCGCCGTCGCCAGTCTGACCAAGCTGGCGGAAGGGTCGCCGGGTGTGGGGCGGCCACGGACGGGGCGTGCGTCTACGGGAGCCGATTGAAGCAAGTGACACGTGGGCGACGAAGGGGAAGAAATCCCGGCACAGCGCACGGGTTGATGATACTTGCGTACGGACTTGGGCGTCAGAGACGTGGGAGAACGCATTCAAGCAAGCAATCGACGGACATCAGCGGGTGGTCAAACGAGGTTTGGACTTCAACGGGGCAGGTGCGTTTCGAGCAAGTGAGGGCGGGGTTGAGGCGGATCATTGCATGGGAGGAGGGAGCAGGGGTAAAACCGGGGATCGCAGTTTGTGATGAGCGTGTTGGAGACAGTCGGCCGGAGCAGCGGCAAATAACAGAAGGCCGCGACGGCACACAGGTAGCTTCCCAACGGCGAAACGAGGTGAGTACGCAATAGAACGGTTCATCACTGAAACACGGCGAAGGGGTTGGAAAAGGGGTAGAGTGGGGAGGGGAAGGGATACGAGGGTGGGGAGGGGAAACACGTGAAAGGTCGAGGAAGCGCGAGAGGTGGTTTACCATTACAGGGGGTAAAGAGAACGAATAAGAAAGTGTTAAGAACAAAAACAAGTGTTAGCAACAAAAACAGGGAGAGAACGGGTCCGGGGAAGGGGGAAAGGTAGGGAAACAGGCGGGGAGATTGTGGACAGAGTCGCGAGAACGGGGGAGACAGGTAGGATAACAGGCTGGGAGAGCGAGGAGTGAACGGGACCAGGGAAGAGAGAAAGGTACACAAGCGGGCGGGGCGGGGCTCCTAGCTCTATTGGTGTTGGGGGACGAAAGGAAAAGGCAGGGGTCAGGCGAGAGAAGGAGGGAGGAGGTGATCGGAGCAGGGGCAGGGGTTGGAAGTCGAAGGGAGGTGCGGAGTTCAGGTGGGGAGGGGAATGGGAGGATTGGAGTGGGATGGGTGAGGGGGGGCGGGGGACAGGGGTTGGACGTTGCTAGGTGAGGGCGACGGGAAGGAGGGGGTGGACATGGAGGAGCAGAGGCAACAGGAATCGGCGGGGTGCATAGAGGGAGGGTGATAACAACGAATAATTTTGTCTGTGCAGAACAAGAGGAGGGGGCGGACACGAACGGGAGCAGGCGACCGCAAAAGCGACGGCCTCAGGCGGTTCATCTGTGGCGCTCCAGCCGGTCCCTTGAACCCGGATGAACGAAAGGAAACCACAAAAGTAACAACCAGGGCAAACAGGTATTAGTGATTTGGAAAAGCAAACGTGAGAACTAAGGAAATAGGTAGTAAGAGTAATACGTGACAAAGGACGGAAGCTCGCAAGCACAAAAAAGTGAAAATCAGAACAAAGAGAGGGAACGAACTCGAAAAACACAGGAGACAGACAGGCACCAAACACAATACCAAAGGCAGGGAGGCAATTTAGCACCATGAGAACATTGATCAGGAAGCAACGTGCCCATAGACGCCTGGACTCCATGCTGTTTTACAGCGGGGCGATGCTGCAGCTGACGGATCAACATCTCCGGCAGGTGAGATGGGCCCAACTGAACCAACCCCCAAGTTCCGCTAGCCTCCCACCGCTCTGTATGGAAAGGAAGCAAAGTGAAGGTACTTTGCCACGGGTAGAAGACACAGACATGGGGGTGCTGATGGAGGAGGAGAAGGAAACGGAGCAGCAAAGGAGGGTGATGCAGGAAGGCAAGGGTGCCTGCGCCGCCCAGGAGCAAATGAAATCCGTGCCGCAGCTCACCTGGGCGGATAAGCTCAGGCATCCCCTCCAAGGCCAGGCCCTGACCATCCAGCGTGGTCAGGGCAGCCCGCGGACAGGGAAGCTTGAGATTCCCCTAGATGGGCTGCTGCAGGCACGGGCTTTCTTCATGACCAAATTTCTGCTCCCATCCGAAACAAAGGTTGTAACCCAGGGTGGCAAACAAGTCATGGTGAAAGCCTACCCTGACCACGGAATCGCAAGCAGGGACGAGATCTATACAAAGCACGCCAGCAATTGGGTGTTTCACGATGATGCGGCCTTCAAATCTGTAAACGATAAAGCCAGATGGATTGGTCGCCGACTTGAAATCTTGAAAAATAGTGCGCATCTTGCTCGGGATCACTTTCTGGTACAGCCAGTAACAAACAACTTATTCACCGTCCTGGCCCTGCATGAAGCGGACAAGAAAGTGATGGATGGTTGGAAAAGGCTTCGCTGTGAACGATCGGAGGTAAGGATCCACCCGTGGGTACCGCAGCGTAGGTTGGGACCGGAGGAGAAGAGGGCGCAACTGATGCGGGATTTCCACTGGGTGGAATTCCGCCACATCCCGGTCGAAATCCAAACGGCCTTTGTATACGATTTCGGCCTGCTTTATGATATCGTCGCCTTTATTGACCCCCTTCCCTCTTATGTGGCTAAGAGGGACGACTATCTGATGCTGGCTCTGGACTTTCCCCCGGGCCAGCCTTTCTCCCTAGACGATGTAATCCCGTATCGAGTTGGGGGGAAAGAGTATCTGATACACACTGCACACAAACTGCGACCATGGTGCCATAAGTGTAGAGTATACGGGCACCTGAGCACAGAATACGGTTGCCCGCTGCACCCGCAAAAAACGGGAGTGAACAACCGGAAGACTGCTGAGAGACCCACGTAAGAAGTCATATTGGCGAGCGGTCGATCCGGGGCACGAAGGGTGGGTATTCGTGGAGGACTGCACAAAGGAAGGGCACCCAGTGGGATGGATCTGGGAGAGGAAAGGGGAGCCTGAATGGGAGACACGGCCCCCTAATACGTGGGTGCCCCCGGCTCTGGTGGAGGAAAAGGTTCAGCAAATTCAACCAAGCCCCCTGAGGGAAAACCCCGACGGAACGGAGGGGAGGAAAGGGGGAAGAAAAGGGGGGAAGGGGACTTGGGTTCAAAAACAGCAACCCGGACCGGGGCAGGAAGAGAAGGAAAAGGGGAAGGAGGAAGGGGAAGGAAAAATGGTCCCCCGAGTGCCCCCGGGCCTGGCCGCGGCAGCATACATTCCCGGGGGAGACAGGGGGACAGGTGAAACAAGCAGCAGGGGCGGGGCGACGGAGCAACAGAGGGTGGGAAATGGGGCGGAGGGACACAGACGGAGACCGGGAGACACGGGGGAACCGCAGGGTGCAGATGAAATGGCAATGCGGGAGGTGGGAAATGGGGCTGAGCGGCAGAGGCTGGGTGAGGCCGGGGGGGGGGGGGG